TTTATAAACTATGACATTTATAAATGCATGAATCATATGGTGAAAAACTGATTTGAAAAATAAATATTGGTTGTAATTTTTGACTGTGTAACTTTAAACATGGCACCCCGTATSGCCTCGCCTTTTAACCACACTGTACTTTCAGCCGAACTACGGCGATCAGTCTGGGATGAGCTTGATGTCCGGGTTGGGCCTCGGCTACGACCGTGGACAGTACACCTCAGGTCACGGCCCACAGCACGGTATGCTGCGGCAGAAATCCATCGGTGAGGTTGTCTGTGTTTTCCGTCTGCCCCCCGTCCGCCTGTCTGTCTGTCCTCTGGGTCAGTACAGGTCTGTCTGTCTGTGACCAAATGTCTGAATTTATCTGTATTGTTTGTTGTATAAATACCCTCTAACTACTTGATTTTATCTGGTTTGCTGCTTATTAAGAACAAGTAGTTCTATGTGGAGTTGCAATGAGCAGTCAGTATCTTACCTGCAGTAGACAGCTGTCAGAACAGTCTCAGTTTTGGGAGTCAAGCTAACAGTTGAGCTCAGAGTGAATTTCTTTTATTTAAATCAACTCGATATTTTCTTTGCAGTAAAGTTTGTGTTGCTACGCTAACTGCTGCACACATCTCCAGTTTGAAAATTAAAACTATCCCTTTCAGRTTTTGTTGAATATTAGCTACGTTTACTTTGATGAGCGACAAAATGTCTGTGTCTCAATTCATGGGCTGGATCCTCATGACCACCTAGACCACATCCTTCCCAGTCCGGGTACGCTGCTCAAAACTGCTGTGAAACGAGCCAGTGATCGGTTTAATATCAGATTTAAGATGTGTTGGGAAGTTTATTTACATGTCTTTTCACCAGAAGAACAACTTCACAATTAAAATGTTACATGTAATTAAAGAAAAAAATATTAATTTGTGTTTAGCTCCAGTATCAGTAATTGCAGCTTCATTTTATTTAACATCTTCTTGCAGCATGAATATCAACAGCGAAGTTGCTAAACTTACATTTAAAAATAAATTCTTCAGTCCATGATGAACTTCCAAACTACGCCGACTTGGTAAAAAAATAAAACCTCCACCGTTTTCGTGTCTCTAAGTTGTATTGAATCCTGGGATATCCTCGGCTGATGCATCCTTGATTTTAGAGATTTTGTAGGCCGCATCCCTCGACTGCATGAGGAGCCTTTGGATTTGGAGGGAACTCGGCGGGGCAGCGACGTATGCAGCAGAGTTGTAAAGTAACTAAGTACAAATACTTCTTTACTGTACTTAAGTAGAATTTTTGGGTATCTGTACTTTACTTGAGTAATTATTTTTCAGCCTACTTTTTACTTCTACTCCTTACATTTTTTAAAAAAGACAAGAAAGTTGTTACTTTTATTTCATTTTTGCTTGTTTTCATTGCAGCTTGTAAAAAATAAAAACTATCCATATAAACTGAGCCTCCTAGATAGAGTGAATTTAACTGTGGYTGAATGAGAAGTATAAATATATAAAACTCTGATAGTGTATTAGTTTGTACACAAACAAATCATGTCACACTCCAGCAGGACAGAATCATTCAAATAAAAGGACTGTACTTAAGAAGTATTTGTATTTCATGAATTATATTATTACATTTGGCCGCAGCCCTCAGATAGATTTTCATTTTGGGGAAAAGCTTTGTGCAGCCTTGATATATGTATATAAACTGAAACAGCTGGACTAGTGCATCCTAAATTTAACATCCATTCATTCTTTTAATACAACAGTCATTTCTGCAGTTTTTGGGGAGGTCACCTCCTAATAAATGTCCTTACAGAAAATCTAACTGTTCATTTTAAATCTATACTTTGACTTTTAATACTTAAGTACAAAAAATATCAGATACTTTAAGATTTTTACTCAAGCAATATTCMTAAAGGAGACTTTAACTTTTACCAAAGTAATTTTTTGGTAAGATATTTGTACTTTTTCTCAAGTATCACTTTGAGATACTTTATACAACACTGGTATGTGGCCTCATGAGGATGCAGCCCCTGAACTGAGACCCAGCGGTTGTACGCAGTTCTGTCACTGATTGTTTTCGTGGTTTTTAACAGACGAATATCCAGACAGATTTAGGAAACGAGGACAGACTTGCCAACAGGTTCCTGGGCAGGCAGGATTAGACAGACACTCTCAGATTTATTCACGCTAAAGCATTTATTTTTCTACTTTCCTTTTAATAGCTACTACATGTTCATTGTTTTCTTTGACGCTGTGCTGCAGGTGTTCCTGAGGAGGAGAAGCAGCTCCTTCACCCCCCAGTGATGAAGTTCGTACGCAGTCTGTCAGTGCCCGGCCCGGACGACATCCCGCCTCCTCCCACCACGGCTCCGCCAGACCCTCCGTTCTCCTCCGCTCCTCCGCTCGGCTGGAGAGTGAAGTCGTCCCAGCAGCCCTCCGTCTCCGTGTCCCAGTCCACCTCCACCTCCGTGCACTACCAGCCCTTCTCCCAGCAGGGGCACTACAGGGAGCGGGCGGGCGGTCCCGGTGTCGGAACATTGGACCACATGGCGTCTTACGTGCAGGCCGCTGCTCACACAGCGCAAAGCAGGACTGCTTCGCGGAAGGTTGCCTACACTGGGGAGTCTGTTGGAGCTGGGGCCGGGGTGGGGGCTAAAGCGGCAGGTCTTAGAAGAGGCTACAGCACAGCCGTACCCCCATCCAGCATCGCTACCGTAATGCCTCAGCAACAACAGCCCACCCAGAGTCAACCCCAGCGTGCAGACCGCAGTGCAGCTGGAGCAGGTGGTCCTAAAGGAGGCGCCAGGAGGGGTAAGGGCCCCCTGGTGAAACAATCAAAAGTAGAGGACCTGCGTCTAACCCAGGGCACACTGGGAAGCAAGGACTCTGTGGAGAAAAGCTCCATCCCCATCCCCACCATCATCGTCAAGGCCCCGTCGACCAGCAGCAGCGGCAGGAGCAGCCAGGGCAGCAGCGTGGAGGCCGACGTCCCCGCGCCGGGGGAGCCRGGCGAAACAAAAACGCCTCACGGCCCCCCGCCCTCCACTCCTGCTCCGCAGCCCCCTGCTCCTCCGTCCATCCCGGCGCCGCCACCGCCGTCCATGCCTTCCATGCGAGTCCAGGAGAATCTGGACTACACCAGCCAGTTCGGGGCCGCCATTGTCGGCGCCGCTCGCCGAGACAGGGAGCGGTTTCTGGAAGCCCGTCGGAAGAGTTCCTCYTTATTCATGTCGGCCGAGGAGGATTTGAGTTTAGGGAGGATGAGCGACGAGATGGGAGGGGTGACGAGGACTCAGGTGTCCCAGCAGCAGCTAAGCACACAGCCTGAGAGTTCGTCAACGCGATTGAGACCTTCGAAGTCCATTGATGAAGGCATGTTCTCTGCAGACACCTTCATCCAACACACTCGCAGTATGCCCCCGGCCTTCGGCCTGCCTGAGTACTCCTCATCTGCGCTGGACTATCAGCCCAAGTCTGTGCCTACCGACCTGTACACAGCGGCGGGCAGGCAGGCGGCGCCGCCTTCCAACACCACCTTCATTCATCCTCTGACAGGAAAGGCGCTCGACCCCACGTCGCCGCTCGGCCTCGCCTTGGCTGCCAGAGAGCGTGCTCTGAGGGACGACACCCGGCTGAGGAGGGGACCGGAGCACCACTTCACCCGCCAGATGTCGAGCATGGTGTTCCCTTCCTCCACTGTCGCCGCTCAGCCCATTTCATCCACTGCGCAGTCCTCCAGCTCCTACCTGGTCACCTCTTCTTCTCTGGCAGCCACCACGCCCACCGTCGGTCGCCCGCCCTCGCCCAGAATCCTCAGAGGAGTCGGGAGTACGTGGAGCGAGGAAGGCAGTGGAGGGGAAAGGGAGCGGGAAGGAGGAGGGGCTCGCGAGGGTCTCAGAGTTCGCTTCTCCGAGGACAAAACGGTCCACACGCACCACTACCAGTCACAGCCATACCAGCCGACCTACAGGGAGCGGGAGAGGTCGAGGGAGCGGGACAARGAGCAGGAGGGGTACATCCGGAGAGCGGAGCAGGGAGCAGCTGACGCTCAGCCTCAGCAGCCTCGACGACCCACCTTCCTCAGGATGGAAAGTCAAGCCGAAGCTTACATCCTGTCTCTTACACCCCCCTCCCCTCCACCCACCAGTACTCAGCAGGCGGCGAACACTACTGGAAGTTCCGGGTCGGGTTTGATGGTTCTTCCTCCCCCGGCCCCCTCGGTCGACGCAGATGATGAATTCGTCTACGCGGACCCCCTCCCTCCGCCGTTGGARTTTGCCAACAGCTTCGACCGAGGAATATCGGGGTACACGCAACACAGGAGGCTCTCCAACAGCCTGGCCTCTCGCCAACAGCAAGTCCCGGCCCCTCCACCTCCGCCGCCBCCTCCGCCGCCGCCTCCCCCGCCCCCGCAGAAAGAACAGTTCATAGGTGGGTTTTCTGCTCACACACCACTGCCCTCACCTCAGGCAGGGGACTCCACCGCCTCTAGTCTCACGTCTTACGACAGCGAGGTGGCCAATCTCACTCAGTCTGTTCCATCSCCGTCGCAGACCTCCCCAAACCCTCCACCTCCTTCCTCACCCTCTACCCTGCAGCCGGCCATGGGCCCTCCTCCTCCCCCTGCAGTCTCACCCCCACCTCCTCCCGGATCCTATCACCGACCCTTTTCTGTGTCTCATCACCTCTACAACAGCACCCACGTGTCCGGACGATCTTCTCCCACGCCTCCTTCGCACGCGGTGGCGCCTCCTCCCGCTTACCGCGGCCCCCCAGTTTCCTCCTCCACCGCCGCCGCCTCTCTGTCACACAGAATCACTGCCTCCCACGCAACGACCGCTAGCTGTGCTTCGACGACCACCACTTCTGCCACCGCAACAAGCACCTCCACCCAGCTCTATCAGGAGCGAACGCACGCCACTCACACGGCATCCTCCACTGCCATCTCAGGCAGGACGGGGGAGCACCACCGCCCTCCCCCTGCCGCCAAGAAAGGAGAGTCCCAGGAGACCGTGGTGGACTCTGGAATTGAAGAACTGGACAGCCGCAGCAGCAGTGACCATCATCTAGACAGCATTCTGGCTCTAACTGGAGCCGGTACCCGGGCAGACAGGCTGGACCGCGGTGAAAGAGTGGGAGCCGGAGGCCGAATGGGAGGGGGTTCAGGGGAAACGGAGAGAGGGGATTTTCTTGAGTCCTACATGAGCTACCTGGACGGACAAACGTTCGAGATGCAGAACGCGACTGCGGTGACTTCCACCTACCCCAAAACCAGCAGGTACAGAGAGGGAAGTCGCGCTGGAGATCTCCACCGACAGACCAGCACCGCTCCTGCGTCCTACCACTCCCACAGGCAGAGAGACGAGGCCGAAGATGACGAGACAGAAGAGGGAATGGACGAAAGTGGGCAGGACGGGTACGGCGTAAGGGACATGGGGAATTTGGGGCGTCCCACGTCACCGTATTTTGATAGGCCGCGCACGCCTGAAATGAGACCACTGTGGGGAGACGGACAGATGAGCGGCGACGAGAGCGGCCATTCGGGGTCTCTGTTGGAGGGGAAGAAGATCTACCCTCCTGCGTCCAGCATGAAGCCCAGCATCATCAATGAGCTGAGCAGCAAACTGCAACAACGGAGCAAAGACAGCTGGAGCAGCCAGAGACCTCTGAGCAGACACAGGTAAACACAGGAGAAATTAAGTTTTCTGCAAAAACACGTCTGTGAGTGCTGAGTGAAAAACGCTTACACTGAGTTCAAGCTAAAGGTTGGACACACTAGCCAAAGGCTAAAACACTAGCAAAAAGCTATGTTGTGGAAATTATTTAACAAGAAACAGCAACACATGATATGAAAAATAAAATCACTTTGTAAAAATATGAGCTAAAACTGAATGAATAAATAAATAAATAAATAAATAAATAAATAAATAAATAAATAAATAAATGTTATCTAAAGGCAGCAAAGCACTAGCTAAATGCAGCAACAGGAATTTAAAAGTAGCTAAAAACAAAAAAAGTAGCAGACTCTTAGTTCAAAATAGTACAAATGTTGGCAAAAAGTTAAAAAAAAATACTTAAGCTTAAAGTAGCAAAAGTCTAGCTAAAATCTACAAGTAGCCTAAGTGAAAGTTGAAATAGTAAAAGAATAGCTAAAAGTAGCATATAGATAGCTAAACAAAAAGTAGCAGAATGGTAGGTAAAATACTAAAAGAGCCAAGTTACAAAAGTAAAATAGTAAAAGGCCAGCTAAAAACTACATGTAGCAAAATGCTAGCTAAAACTACAACCAATTATAGCTAAAATTACCAAGAGCCTAACTAAAACTCAAAATAATAAAAGGTTTGCTAAAAGTAGCAGAATTATACCTTAAAGCTAAATGTAACTAAAGCCTAGCTAAAAATATTGGCTGAGTCCGAAACGGCAGGACGGGTCCTCCGGAGGACCCAGACTCCCCGGTCTCGGCGGGCCGGGTCCTTGGTAGACCGGGAAGACCGGAAAAAAAGAGGCTGTGRATTTGGACGGTCTAGCCTCCCCTCCTTACCCCGGCGTACGTCTTGTCACCTAGCAACTGTGACGACGCTAAACAAGCAAACTTAAATCAAAACTAGAAAATTATCAATACATTAGCATTATTAATATCACAAAACTATAAAATTAACTTAAAAGTATCATTTGAAGAACTAATTGACCCGCTGTAGGTTCATGTTTATTTCGCGTTTTTTATGACGAAAAAATAATATTTAAAAACATGTCCATACAAATGATAAAAGTATTAGAATTACAACCGCTAATTTTTTTAAATTTTTAAATCACCATACTTTTATTTAAAATGTATTCTTTTCTCTCGCTTCGTCCACCATTACTAGCATAAAAAAATCTCCGATCGGGCCGCAATGCATTATGGGATATGCTGGGCCGGGAAGGATCCATCAGACCTGTCTTTCGATTCGGGGAAAAAGAAGGACGTATTTGTCGGACGCATCGGGGGAGTCTTCGGTTTTGGACGGCCTTCGTCGCGGCGCTGTGACGTATGCGGCCGACAAATTCGACCTTCGGAGGACCCGTCCTGCCGTTTTGGACACAGCATTTAGTAGCAACAAGCTAGCTAAAAGTAGCAGAATGATAGCTTAAAGCTAAAAGTAACCAAAGCTTATTTAAAACTAGTAGCAGCAGACTATCTAAAAGTAGAATGACAGCTTAAAGCTAAAAGTAACTAAAGCCTAGTTAAAACTAATAGTAGCAACAGGCTAGCTAAAAGTAGCAGAATGATAGATTAAAGCCAAATGTAAGTAAAGCCTAGCTAAAAAATATATAGTAGCAACAAGCTAGCTGAAAGTAGCCTATAACAACTAAATCATCTGAAGCCGATTTTAAAGAGAACTAAAGAAATTTTAATGCATTCTTATGATGAAATATTTATAAAAATTGTTAAATATTTTAAAAAGTACAAGTTAATTTCTTCGATAAGCCGAATATTTTAAAACATGGATGCTAAAATAGCAAAATTTTCACAGAATTAGTTAATTTGAAAACCTGCTCAAACAGGAATGCTGAATCAGCAGTTTTAATATAAATCCGTTCTTCATATCGTCTTACTGTWGGCATCATCCTCGTATTGATGTTTTGGCTGTGAAAACATCAATGTGTTTTTGTAGTTTTGATTTTCGAGCCTTCTGAGAAAAACTGTGTATTCTCTGTCATAATTGGTTGTTCATGTTGTGTGGACGTTGTGTAAACTTGTTTTGTTTTTCTGGTTTTCTCCATGTGTTCCTCTCAGAAGCAGAAACAGGTAATTGAGCCCCTTTCACAATGTCTGGTTGTCCGCCTATGAAAAATCCTATTCCAAGCAAAAATATTATCATCCACCTCTGCCTTTTGGCAGAAGGATATTAATCACTAGCATTCAGCTGAAAGATGAAGTGACTGCATAAGTCATGGTTGTTTCACAGCTGCTGCAGGTGTTGACATCGAAGGAAACACAATACCTGTAATTACGCTGTGATTTTCAGAGGAGGCTGCAAGTTTGACAGTTTTTACCTTAACCATCAGCTAAGACAAACAGTTGCATCTTTCTGCAAAAATGTCTGACATTTCGGCGGGAATGTCTGCTTTTTGTTTATTTTTTTACACTTCGGTTATCGAAAAGGTGCAAGCTTAAAAAGCAAAAGGCTAAAATGTGCAAAAAGCTAAAGCAGCAACATTCAAAGTATCAAAAGGCCTAAAAGTAGCAAAATCCTAATTTTAAGCTAACAGTAAAAAGCTGGCTAGAAGCTACATTAACATGAAAAATAAAGGAAGATAAAAAGAGCAGATTTTAAACAGAATTATGCTTTTGAAATAATTGAAAAGATATTTATATAAGATATTTAAGTTTATATTTATTTATTTATTTATTTTTATTTACCGATATTTTAGTTTATGTGGTTAAATAACGGTAAATAATGAATAATCTGTACTTATTAAAAACTCAGTGCATTATAATAGGATCTTTGGATGCCACCCTGCAGTGTGTTACAGTAAACACTGTCAGTGTTAGTCACTGTGCTGTGAGTCATGGATGCACCAGCACAAACCTGTAAAACCCACAGACTGCTTATGTATTTTTGTTACAACTAATAATACTGTTTCTAATTACCAACAATTAACCATAAAGATTTAACTTAAATGTTCATTATCATGAAATGAATAAAAAAAGTAAAGAATAAAGGTAGAAGCAGGGATTTGTTTTGACCCTTTTAGGATTTTTGTTTCATTTTTGCGTCTTTCTGTTCACAGATTTTCAGAAGACTCCGCCTCCGCTCTGAGCCCGCCCTCAGCCCGCTCCCAGTCGCCGTCTCCGATCTCTCTATCGCAGCCGTCCTTATCGCCGTCCCCGACCCCGGCCTCCCAGTACCCTAACTGGGGGCGATCGCCCTCGCCTCAGCCTCCGGCCCCCTCCCAGCCTCCGCGGTCCCACTCCCCTCTGTCTCCGACGTCGTATTCCCCGTACCCCACGTCCCCCAAGCACAGACCTGTGTACCGGACCAAAGCTCTGGAGTTCCAGTTCATTCCCAGTCGGGAGTCCCGCAAAGCGGAGTCCAACATGCTCCAGCGCAGGCGAGCCCCCAGCCCCCTCATCTGCCAGTCGGAGAGACCCCAGATGGGCCCACCACGCCCATCGTCGCTTCCGCTTCTCCCCACTTCGCCTCTATACAGCGCCATCTACGACCTGCGCGGGTCAGTCACCCCACCTTCGCCCGGTAACCCCCTCGGGGATCCGTACTTCTCCCCCTCCCCTCCCCTGTTCGCCCCCTCTGGCGCCCCCCCACCTCCGAACTCCTCCCTGGTCGTCTCCCGATCGCTCTCTCCAACTCACTTTCTGTCCGGGACGTCCTCCCCGCCCCTGCACCCCATGCCACCCCCCACCTGTCTAAGTTACCCCCACTTGCCGCCCCCCTCCCCGACAAAGCCTTTCGCCTCCAAGCCGCTGCCCTACTGGACCAAGTACGACGTCGCGGACTGGCTGGCGTACCTGAACCTGGGGGAGCACAGAGAGCGTTTCCTGGACAATGAGATTGACGGAACCCACCTGCCCTCTCTGACCAAGGAGGATTATTTGGATTTGGGCGTGACGCGAGTCGGACACCGCATGAACATCGAACGGGCCCTGAGGACCGTATTGGACAGGTGAGATCAGGAAAAGGTAACACATTTTAAAGTTATTACACTCACTGGCCACTTTATTAGGTACACCTTGCTATTACCGGTTTGGACCTCCTTTTACCTTCAGAACTGTCTTAATCCTTGGTGGCATAGATTCAACAAGGTACTGGAAACATTCCAATGAGAGTTTGGTCCATATTGACATGATGGCATCACACAATTGCTGCAGATTTATTGGCTGCACATCCATGATGAGTATCTCCTGTTCCACCACATCCCAAAGATGCTCTATTGGATTGAGATCTGGTGACTGTGGAGCCATTCCARTACAGTGAACTCATTGTTGTGTTCAAGACACCAGTCTGAGATGATTCACACTTTATGACATGGAGCGTTATCCTGCTGGAAGTAGCCATTAGAAAATGGTACATTGTGGTCATAAAGGGATGGACATGGTCAGAAGATGGTACACTGTGGTCATAAAGGGATGGAGATGGTCAGAAGATGGTACACTGGGTCATAAAGGGATGGACATGGTCAGAAGATGGTACACTGTGGTCATAAAGGGATGGACATGGTCAGAAGATGGTACACTGTGGTCATAAAGGGATGGACATGGTCAGCAACAGTACTCAGGTAGGCTGTGGTGTTTACACGATGCTCAGTTGGTACCAAGGGGCCCAAAGTGTGCCAGGAAAATATGCCCCACATCATTGCACCACCACCAGCCTGAACCGTTGATACAAGGCAGGATGGATCCATGCTTTCATGTTGTTGATGCCAAATTCTGACCCTACCATCCGAATGTCGCAGCAGAAACCGAGACTCATCAGACCAGGTGACGTTGTACCAATCTTCTATTGTCCAGTTTTGGTGAGTCTGTGTGAATTGTAGCCTCAGTTTCCTGTTCTTAGCTGACAGGAGTGACACCCGGTGTGGTCTTCTGCTGCTGTAGCCCATCCTCCTCAAGGTTTGACGTGTTGTGTGTTCAGAGATGTTCTTCTAAAGACCTCGGTTATAACCAGTGGTTATTTGAGTCACTGTTGCCTTTCTATCAGCTCAAACCAGTCTGTCCATTCTCCTCTGACCTCTGGCATCAACAAGACATTTGCACCTACAGGACTGCCGCTCACTGGATATTTTCTCTTTTTCRGACCRTTCTTTGTAAACCCTAGAGATAGTTGTGGGTGAAAATCCCAGTAGATCGGCAGCTTGTGAAATACTCAGACCAGCCTGTCTGGCACCAACAACCATGCCACGTTCAAAGTCACTTAAATCACCTTTCTTCTTTGCATATGACCAACCTGTTTGTCCATGTGGAGGCAGTGCTTAAGGCTGAGTTCACCTGAAACTCTTCAGACTCAATAAGTCTCTTGGAGGAGAGACGAAACATTTCACTAAAGAAGAACCATCCAGAGGACCTACTTATTTATTTATTTTTTTTTGATTTTCACCTTTTTTCCTCGTTCTGATGCTCAGTTTGAACTGCAGCAGATCATCTTGGTCATGTCTACATGTCTAAATGCATTGAGTTGCTGCCGTGTGATTGGTTGAGTTGACTTTAGCGTTAATGAGCAGTAGGACAGGTCAGGTGTACCCAATAAAGTGGCCAGTGAGTGTAGATTTTTCACTGATAAACAGCGCCCTCTGCCTGCAGAATGTTGAAACGACATCCAGTGGTTTTCACCAAAATTCAAATACAGAAAATATGAAGTCTACCCAATTAAATAAAAAACACATCTAGACATAAACCACCATAATACAAATAAATAGGGAGCAATTCCTTTTTTGGTCATGTTTGTCTTGTTTAAACAATTTAAGTTCTTAGAAAATACCTCAAAAAGCTTTGACAGTAAAGTACATTTTTTTAGTTATACCTCAAATATGCCTCGTGTTTTTATTGTTTCTGTCCAGGCTGTCCAGCAGCCCGTTTCCCATCTCTGTCCTCTCGCCTCGAGACGGACAGACGGACAGGAGGAGGGACGACGGCAGCCGAAGCTGAGGATCAAATGCAAACTCAAAAAAAAGGGGGTGGGGGGTGGGGGGGGCAACAGATTTCACACAGGAAGCAGCAGACAGAGGGAGACGGTTTACGAAGACGCCGCCTGGATCTCCACACAAACACTCCGTACATGCATGCACCAACACAAACAGGAAGTAAAACTACAACAGCCCTTCATGACTCCACGGCTGCAGCGGCGATTAGAAAACTCACGTAGRTCAGATCAGAGTAAACGTAGACGCTAGTTTTAAAACCGTATCATATTTTTGTGCGTGCGTGCGCAGGAGCGAGGCTTCATCTGCGTTTAAACCGTAGATCCCGACAGGCTTCGCGTCTCTTCGAGTCGACGAGGGGAGCAGGCGTCCGGCGTCCTCGCTACGTTTGGCTTCAATCGGTCGTTTTTTCTTTTTTAACCTCATCGAGGTAAACGAGGGCGGAGCCTCGGGATCGGGTGTGTTTCTAGTTATCATCTTAAAGGACGAAAAAAAAGACTGACTTGTCACTGTATCACAAATCTGTAGCAAAAACAAGTGCCCAGACCTCCAGCGTTGTAACGAGTTTTTGAATAAAACCGATATGCACACAGACACAGGCGCCCGGCTCCATCCTACCCATGCCTGCATGAAAACATGTAGATAAACACAAGCACCCCGGTGTTTGTGTCCCAGTTTATATATATAAATATATATCCACACACGGTCCACGTCCGGATCCAAGACATATCTGAACACAAAGAGGACACAGACTGTGCTTTCAACTGTTACACAGGATTTTCTGACGACGCGAGGAGAAAACATCTTCCAAAGGATTTTATTTACAGAGGACTCCTCCTCGCTCGGACTCTGGTACGAGGGAGACCGGAAAGGACAGGAGAGGGGAGGGCAAGAGGAAAAACTGCCATTTTCTTGTTCTTTCCCACCCAATCCCCCCTGCTCCTTCCAGGAGTGGCCTTTCTAACCCCCCACCCCACCCAAACCACGAAACCCAGGAGGAAGAGGGGGATCCAAGAGAAACGCTTCTACGGAATTTTAATACTGATMGTTCTTACAGTTTTTAAACTTCAAACGGGAACACTGGAATTATTGATAAGAGATTTATTGTTACTGTTTATTGATCATCGTCCTTACTGTTATTACAGAAAAGTCCCGGTTTTCTGAAGAGAACGGCCACGGTTACAGACCCACTAACATCGTTTCTACGTTTCCTTTATCCAGAGAAGCTTTAATCATCATTAAAAGTCTTTACTTCAGTTAAGTTCAAAAAGTGCATCATAAACCCATTATTTAGTCATGAGTGTTTAAACTAAGGCATAAAAAGGTAACTAAACTATTTCAATTGAAAAGCCTCAAAAAGAGAAAAGCTTTTATTTTGAAAACCCATCTGCTACATTTCCTTCATCGGCTCTCTTCACAAGCTGTCTTACTTGGCTGAGATGAAATATAAGGGCTCTCTTCACCTCTCCTGCTGCTTTTTACGTACAAGAAAAGGTTTTATCAGACACATCCGGAGGTTTCTCTGCTGTCCGTTACTGTTTGTTGCTTTAAACAGTTTTCGTCCATCATGTTTTTGTGAATTAGTTCCTGCTTGGAGCTGATGGTCAGGAAGAGGTCGGCGAGGGAAATAAATGGCAATAAGGACGATGAAAATAATCCAAACATGGTTTAAGATGTAAAAAAAAAAAAAGTCTCAAAAGTTCTAAAGAATCTCTGTCTTCCAAATGTTTATCATAAAAAAAGATTATTTAACTGTTCTGCTTTCTATACAGTCGGACCCGTTCTCTGTTGGTTTAATCTCATCTTCCAGGGAACCAGCAGATTATTCAGAGGCCCGATAATCAGAACTGTTTACATTTCCCTTCAGTGACTTTAAACTTTAAGTTTTATTTTGTTTGATTTGAAGGTAAACAGTGCCCAACAGGAACTCTGGATATTTAAGTTATTGGTGAAACATTTTTTTTTAATTCTCAGCAGAAAAAGTGACTTCATGAGGGAATTGGTTTGACTCTATAGAAAGCATTTTTCCTTTAAAGAGATCTTTTTAAAAAAGAGATGAACAGAAGAAAGGTAACTTACAGAACATGTATGTATATGTTGTTACGCATATACACACATTCAGATAAAATATATATGAATTTCAAATGTTTTAAGAGATAATAAATTGTTAGAGTTATAATAAAGATACGGAAACAAAGTTTTAAATATGTTTGTTAGGTTTTTTTTTTATTATCTTCATCTAATTATTTAAGAGTTTGATCAAACTTCTGGTCTGAAACATTTCTGCTGCATTTATGTTTTATAATGTTGGTTCTGTTTGAATTAAATCCAAATAAATTTATCACCATTTTACAGAAGAGCTTTGCATTCACCAAAACAAACAAACAAACAAAACAAAATTAGACTTCTGAGCTCATAAAAACAAATATCTCAGTTAGACGTCTCGATTACGAGATCCTGATCTCATAATTACAAGATCTCGTTATTACGTTATAATTACGTAATTATGAGATCAAGATCTTGTAATTGAGATGTCTCAAAACTATGAGATATTTTTTTATGAGGTCATAAAATAATTACAGAGGAGAACCCCTCACTCGGACTCTGGTAACACTGTAACAGTTGAAAACACAGTCTGTCAATAATATCTCATAATTATGAGACCTTTTCTCATAATTTTGGGTTATCTCGTAATTGTGAGATTTTTTTCGTAATTATGACATCTTTTCTTGTAATTATGAGATCAGGATCTAGTAACTGATATATCTCATAATTATCAGATTTTATCCTAATTTTGAGATATTTTCTCATAATTATGAGATTTTTTCGTAATTATGATCTTATCTCGTAATTATGAGATATTATCTCGTAAATATGAGATCTTTTCTCGCAATTTTGATCTTTCCTTGTAATTATGAGATCTTTTTTTTCACAATTCTGACCTTGTAATTATGAGATCAGGATCTAGTAACTGAGATATCTCATAATTATGAGATATCTTCTCATAATTTTGGGATATTTTCTCGTAATTATGAGGTCTTTTTTTGTAATTATGGTCTTATCTCGTAATTATGAGATCTCATAAATATGAGATATTTTCTCACAATTTTGATCTTTCCTTCCTTGTAATTATGAGATCTTTTTTTTTTGTAATTATGACCTTATCTTGTAATTATGAGATCAGGATCTCGTTATTWAGAGATATCTCGGAATTATAAAATCTTTTCTCATAATTTTGTGATCTTTTCTCATAATTATGACCTTATCTGGTAATTGAGATATCTCGTAATTAGGACAATTACTTGTAGTTACTATGACCTTATCTCTTAATTATGAGATATCTCCTGAGATCAGGATCTCGTAATTGAAATCTTTTCTTGTAATTATGAGATCAGGAGTTTGTGTGTGAATGCAATGCTCCTCTGCACCATTTTATTTGCCAAATAAGTATTTAAAAATTTACCTTACATTAAGATTTAAGTGAATTAGTTTGCTGGCTGCAGTTATTAACTTATTTTCATCATAAAATTACTGATGGTTACTTTGAAACGGCAAAGGTTTTCATAAAAGAAATAAAAAACAAAAATTGGTGAAATGCAAACTTGATTAAGAACAATTAGATAAAAACAGGAAATAAATGTGAGCCACACCTCGGAGCAGGAGCTGCACTAACTGCCGTGACTCATATAAACCTTTATTTAACCAGGTTTGTCTCACTGAGATCCTGGCAGCATACACGACACTCAGTTACAACAAACTAACTTACAATAAAACAAATGATTAAATAAACAATTGCACTTGTGCTACTGAACATAATGGGATCTATCATGTTCTTAAATACATTCAGATATCAGTGTTTTAAGTTTAAGCTCTGATTACAAACTAATCTTAGAGGTGGTTCTGACACGAGGAAATTTAACAAGTCTTGAGACTGGAGGCTGCAGGTCCTGTTTAAACATAAAGTGCTTTCAACTTAATGTGGTCCACAATTAGTCATAACAGTAGATTTTATATTTTAACTGTAAAATAAAGACTAAAAATACTGTAGGCTGTTCAGTTTTGTCTATTTTTTTAAAATATATATGATAAACATGTTTATTAAATAAAGTTTAATGTTACAACTTTTAATAAAAACACACGTGGACAAAATGGTTGGCACCCCATGTTGGGTGTGGTCCACAGCATGTCAGTATCTGTAGCCGTATATACAGGTGGTCCACTGATTATAAGACTGTGGACACCTGTGATGATAATTAGTGGACACAAAAGATTTAACATGTCCCTTTGGTCACGTTATTTTCAGAGGTACCATCATTTCTGTCCAGGCCTGTTTCAGGAGTTTTATTCTGTTGAAGCCTGGCTGAAAACATGGCTGATTTTCATTTTCATAGACATTATTATATTTGTCAGACTGAAATCATTTCGGTGACCATTCCTAACCCACAGGGTTCAATAAGACGTTGGTCCACCCTGTGCAGCCAGAACAGCTTCAACTCTGCTGGGAAGTCTGTCCACAAGGTTTCTGAGTGTATTTAAGGGGATTTTTGCCCACTCTTCCAGAAGCACAGCTGTGAGGTCACATAAAGATGGTGGACCAGAAGGTCTSGCTCTCAGTCTCTGCTCTAACTCATCCCAAAGGTGTTCTGTTGGGCTGAGGTCAGGACTCTGTGCAGGCCAGTCCAGTTCCTCCACACCGGACTCTGACATCCAGGTCTTTRTGGACCTTGCTCTGTGCACTGGTGCGCAGTTGTGCTGGAAGAGGAAGGGTCCGGCTCCAAACTGTTCCCACAGAGTTGGGAGCACGGAGTTGTCCAGGATGTGTCGGTACGCTGCAGCAGTCAGAGGTCCCTCCACTGGAACTAAAGGTCCAAGTCCAGATCCTGAGAAACAGCCCCACACCACGACCCCCCCTCCGCTCGGCACCATGCAGTCAGAGGGCCGTTCTCCAGGCAGCCGCCCAACAAAGTCCTGTCCATCAGCCTGCCAGACGGAGAAGCGTGATTGGTCGCTCCAGAGAACGCGCCTCCACTGCTCTGGAGTCCAGTGGCGGTGAGCTTCACACCACTGCATCCGCCGCTCTGCGCTGGACCTGACGCACGGCCCGGCTGCTGCAGCTGGGCCGTGGAAGCCCATCTCATCGAGCTCCCTGCGCACGGTTCGTGAGCTGATCTGAAGACCGCAGGAAGTCTGGAGGCCTGCAGTGATGGACTCCGCAGACAGCTGGCAGCCCGTTCGCACGATGCCCTTCAGGATCCGCTGGCCCTGCGCCGTCAGTTTGCGTGGCCTGCCGCTTCGYGGCCGAGTCGCCGTCGTTCCCAAGCTCCTCCACTTCCTGATGATGGCGCTGACGGTCGACTGTGGGATGTGCAGGAGCGAGGAGATCTCACGGCTGGATTTCTTGGCCAGGTGGCATCCGATCACAGTCCCACGCTGGAACTCACTGAGCTCCTGGGAGCGACCCATTCTGTCTGCACGCCTAGATGGCCGTGGAGAGACTGGGAGCGCTGATTGTGACCATTTAAACTGGTGAGCAGAAACTTTTCTTACTGCAGATGTTACAACCTGTGAGTTAAAAACAAATTAAAACAGATTTATGACTGTTTAATATTGTTTTTGTTTGGTGAAATGACAGAAGAACCAACCTTTCTATCACAGCTTCATTTAGTTTCCACTTCAACATCAAACTGAATAAAAATAAATAWAAGAAAGTTACTTTAAAGTTCATCACCTTCAGCAAACATTACTTTTTTATTGCTTCTCTTCAGAAACTTTAGCTTGTCAGGGCTAAAGATGCACATGTCCTCAGATGGACTCAGAGCCCAGTGCCAGTCATCAGCAGAGATTTATTACATCTACGTAAATATTTAGGTTAAAGTGATTTTATTAAATATTTAGATATAACATAGAAAAAAAACACAGATCAGTTTTAAATCACTTTAGCTTGTCAGGGCTAAAGATGCACATGTCTTCAGATGGACT